GGGGGGGGGGGGGGGGGGGAGGGGGGGGGGGGGGGGGGGGGGGGGGGGGGGGGGGGGGGGGGGGGGGGGGGGGGGGGGGGGGGGGGGAGAAGGGGGGGGGGGGGGGGGGGGGGGGGGGGGGGGGGGGAGGGGGGGGGGGGGAGGGGGGGGGGGGGGGGGGGGGGGGGGGGGGGGGGGGGGGGGGGGGGGGGGGGGGGGGGGGGGGGGGGGGGGGTGGGGGGGGGGGGGGGGGGGGGGGGGGGGGGGGGGGGGGGGGGGGGGGGTGGGGGGGGGGGGAGGGGGGGGGGGGGGGGGGGGGGGGGGGGGGGGGGGGGGGGGGGGGGGGGGGGGGGGGGGGTGGGGGGGGGGGGGGAGGGGGGGGAGAGGGGGGGGGAGAAAATTAGGCTGAGACCCTGAATTCTGCAGCCAAGCAAGGCCGGGCAGGATAGATAATAGCTGAGCCTACAGGATCTGGAATCATTCAAACCCTGAGTCAAATCCCAACTTTATCACTCACAAAGCTGTCTCACCTTGAGCAAATTGCTTTACCTCTAAACCTATTTTGTGTTGTTTTGGGGTGACTTTTGGTTTTGATTTGGTTTTTTTGGTTTTGTTTTGGAGACAGCGTCTTGTTGTATGGTCTAGGTTTATCTCAAACTCACCATCCTCCCACACCACACCCAGCTTAAACCTCAGTTTTCTTATCAAGAAAGTAGAACTAAAAACAGTAACTAGAATTTAGGGTACTTAAGGGGATTAAATAGGTAATGCTTTCAGAGCACATAATGCAAAGCCTATAGCACAATAAGTAAACCGCATACAGTCAACCCTCAGTGTCCATGAGGAAGTGAGTCCTGCAGACACCAAAATCTGCAGATGCTCAATCCCTTATACGACACAGCATTTGTATATAACCTGTCCACATTCTTCCACGTAGTTTAAATCATCTCTTCGTTACTTATAATATCCAACACAGTGCAAATACTACAGAAATAGTGCTTGTATTACATTGTTTAGGGAATAATGACAAGAAAAAAGTCTGGAGCTGATGGAGTGGCTCAAGTGGTAGAGCACCTACTTAGCAAGCCCTGAGTTCAGTACTGCAAAAAAAAAAAAAAGAAGAAGAAAAGAAAAAAGTCTGCATATGTTCAACAGGGACACAATTTTTTTCCAAATACTTTCAATCTGCAGTTTGGTGAATCGACAGATGAGGAACCCACAGAGGCCTACTGAACTTCAGGGCCTTTGAACTTCACAATAACACTTTCTAAAGCCCCAATTCTGTCCAAGATGAATTAATGCCAGAATCCCAGGTACTTGGTAAATATTTCTCTCTTCCTGGGCAACACACCATCCATCCAATCTCTGGCTCCTCTCTACTGAACTACAGCAATAAAGTTCCAGATAACAAAGAGGAGGGCCTAACATTCTACCCAAAGTCTCTTATTCTATCCAAAATCTCTTATTCAGTTCAAAGCCGGTCCTATGTCAAATATGCATTTAATTCCTACTATCACCTAAGAGAAGTCAGGTCCACAGTCATTCAAAAATGAGGCAAGAAGTCAGAAAAATCATAGCAGTAAAAATCACCTTATATCCTAAGAAAAATCAGGAAAACAGTATGGAACGTTAATTGCCCCATAAGAACCATTGTAGAGTTTCCCATGACAAGCCTCACCTGTAACTTCAGCGATGAATTCTTGGGACCAGTCAGTCTCATTATAATCCTGAGTTACATCCACAGCATCTCCAGCTGCAAGAAACTCCTGGGCCCAATTCTCAGACAAGGCTAAGTCTGCCACACCAGGGGCTTATAAAAGAGACAGAGAAAGAGGACTAAAAAAACAAAAGTAAATATTTTCCGTTCCACCATGCCTAAGGAACTCTGAGTGCACTTGAAAACACTGTCCCCCTGCATCTCAGCATCCAAATATGGAACTCCTTTGCCCAGCCTGAACAGAAATAGTGCTCTCCCCCTCACCAGTCCCTGGACCCACCTCTTTGGGGAGCCTGGCGGAAGTTTGACTGTTCAATTTCCTGCATCTCAGCCAGGAGATCATCCATCTTGAAGGTCTGAGGGGCACGGGATACAAGTGGTGCATTCTGGTCCTGCAGGAATTCGGCCACCAACTGTCACAAGAGAGATGGTGAAACTCTTGGAGTCAGAAGGCCCCAGCAAGAGACAGGGCCCACTGGATGGGGATACTGATGTCAGATGAAAGAGACACAGAAACTGGAGACACATAAAGAAAGAGAAACTTTCAAAGATTTGTAAACACAAAGAATACAAAAAAAAATAAAATACTAGCAGACAAATCTCTTTGGTCTGGAACATCCAAAGACTGAAATATGGTTGAACTAAGTTTAAAGGTTTAAAACAAATAATAATGAACAAGAGAAAAATGAGACAAAAACATCTGGTATATTTACCTCATCTTCAGAAGCTACTCCCAAAGGCTTGGAGACCTAAGACAGAAAAGAGCAGGCAATATGGTACAGTGATGAAGGCCACAAATACACAACTCATACATAGCACAAACTCTAGCTCTACCATTTATATGATCCTTAGGCAAGTCACAAACCTTCCCTAAGCCTCAGTTTCTTCATCTATGAAATGGGTGCCTTCATCTACACAAAGACACACAGTATTTAGAATAATGTTGTTAAGTGGTAACTGCTATTACTTGCAACACAATAAAGTGTAGTCATCCTAAAACGTACAAACGGATCCTCCATCCTAGCTGGCCACTAGGCTTTCACTTCATGAACACTCACCGCCTCGGAAGTTGGGGCTCCTGGGGGCCAGGGGCCGGGCCTCAATCCCTCCTGTCGAAGGGCCTTGTCCTGGGTGAAGTGGCCCGCCAGCTTCATGAGCGGGTTGGCACCCCCGCATTCGGCCTCCACCAGCTCCCGCATTGCCATGGTGACCACCAGTTCTCTGATGGACAGAAGATTGGAACTGAGGTCCGGAAGACAGACCCCTCCCCAACCCTCAACTCAGAAGGTATCTGCAGCAGGTGGCAGATGTCTGTGCCACAGGGGCCAGGCTGCCCGCCACTGGCTGCCTCCTCTTTTGCTGTGGCCCCCACCTCTGCCAGGAATCTGAAGAGAGCCGCCCCCCTCAAAGCCTCGGCTTTCAGAGTGGGTCTCTCCAGCAGCTTTCACGTCTGAGGAGCAGGGTCCCCACAAAGGGGCCTGGACCCCAGGGGAATACAGGAGACGCTTCATCAACGGGACATTGGCTGGACGAGGGGAACTGGGAAAGCCGGGTGACCGTACACCTGGTGCCCGGCACCCCGCTTAGTCGGGTAAGCACGGTGGTGGGGGGACCACCGCTTCCCTAAAACCACCTGAGCCCCTCCCCCGCTCGGCCCGCTCCGGGTCCACTCCTCCCGCGCTCCGGACCACCCCGTCACCGCCGCCCAGCCTGCCATTCCAGCCCCGCCCCCGAACCCGTGAGGCCACCACAGGGGCGGGGAGACCCCGGCCGCGTCCTCGCGCCCCGTCAGGGTCCTGCGCTCACCGCCGCGCGCCGCGCCGCAAAACCCGCCGGGGCACCTGGTGCGGGCTGGGGGAGGGGAGAAAAGGGGGCGGGGACCCAGGGGGCGGGGCTCGGGCTTAAAGGGGCCGTGACCGCCTCGCTGCGGCCCAGGCCCTGCGGAAGCTGTCTAAAGGGGCGGAGCCTAAACACTGCGACGGCGTGCAGGGAGGACCCAGGAGCCTTAAAGGGGCAGAAGGCCTTAAAGGGGACGTTTTGGAGAATCGTCTCTGGTACCTCTCAAAAGGGGCCTTAGGACGGTAGGACTTGTTCAATAGAAAGCTCAAAGAAGAATGGAGCTAGGAGGATCTCGGGCTTTGGAGAAAGCTGACGATGCAAAATTTTGGGCTCGGTTCGTCCTTGGCTTCTCTCTGGGGTTGCATTGTGACCTGGGTCAGTGTTTCCTCCACTAAATCCCCTTCTGACTGATCTTCCCAGGTAAGAGAAACAGCATAACACGAGGGAATTCCGAGGGAATTTGTGGCCTTTTCCAGCATCCTAGGCCCGCCCTCCACCCAATTTGCCACTGTGTGGCAGCATCACGGTCTCCATGGAGACCAAGGCCTGCCCCCAGTTCCTCTGCCACCTCTGCGTAATGAGGAAAATAACGCTGGATGATGACAAATTCCGGAGACTAAAATAGGGTCCTATGCATCCTGAGACCTCGAACTGGTAACGTGCAGGGAAGGTGAGTGACCGTGAGTCACTGCTCTCCCCTCCTGCCTGCTTTTGCCACCAGTCAAGGTCATGATGGCCTTATTCCCACCGCTCCAGGCAAAGCAAGAGGCAAGAAATACTTTTAAACATGGAACATGAGCCTAAGCCTGAAGCTCCACCATCTGCCAGAGAATTGGCTCGGGTGTCAAACCTCAAGGTCGCTGGGAAGCCACTCTGCTATCTCACCTGGGTCCAAGACAAAGGAGCCCTGGTGTCGTGAGAAGGGCAGAAGGGGTTCAAAGTTGCTGATCGATGGGCTAGGATAGGATCCTGGCATAAAGGCAGAACCATCCCAGCCCAGAGTGCGGAAGAGGAGGCAGACAGACGGCAGGTGGCGCCCTGGGGCAGGCTTGTTTTCTTACGGTGCGACAGATTTCAAAGGTGGATAATCCCTGGGGACCACAGGGACTTGGCTGTGTAATTTATCCGTGAGAAGGCTGAAGCTGCTTTCACCTCAGGAGAACAATGGTATGGCAGGGCAGAGCAGAAGATTGTGCAGCATTTCTACTTTTCTTTAACCTTCTCACAATCTTTCAGAGGCCCTGATCGCACTGCCCCACTTCTGGAAATCACAAATCCCAGCCCCTGAGCGCCCACTGTTCCCAGCCTGCCATCATAAGGAAAATACCTAGTATCTATAAACTAAACCACAAAGAGGAGGAAGGAATGCTGTCTGGACAGTGCGTACTTTAAAAAGGAGGATTCCTGGAGAAACCAATGTTTAACTGAAAGAAACTGATGTGGTAGAATTTCAGAATATTGAGGCAACCACAGAGCATTTCCCAGTATTACTCAAACCACACCACACAACACAACCTTCTGTTCTGCTAGGAGTTTAGCAACTGATCAACAGTAATTTACGATGTGTCTAGCTGTTGGGAGAATGGTAATAATAACATGTTTATGAAATGCTTATTAAAACCCAGGTGTTACAGTGTACACTTTATTAGCACTTTCAGTCTTCATGATCTTCATAATACCCCTTCGAAATAGGTATTACCAACACCATTTTACAAATAAGACATCAAGGAGGTAAAAGTTCAATCCAAGCACAACAGCAGATACCTACCCATTATGCAACACTACCTCTCAGTCTTGGACAAGTGTTGGTTATAGACCCTAGGGAGCTTTGATTGAGACCAAAGAACCTGGCTCACAGTCCCAGAGGTGCTGCAAAAAGACTAAAAGAGCTACTTGGATATTTAATACTTAGTTTATTGGAGTTCTAGATTTGAAATCCTAGATTTTGTTAATCCAGGTTTAAATTCTTATTCTATCCCTAAAATTTTAATAAAATAATTTGACTTATTCGTTAATATTTGATTAAAATTCAAGTTTAAAAGTTTAATTTCCTCCAGTTTTTAGACACTGACATTCACTATGGGCAAGGCATCGCTTTAAGTGCTTTTCAAATGTTGATTTATGTAGTCCTTATAATAACTATTAATAACAACTCTTAGTAATCCCATTTTACAGATGAAGAAATTGACACAGACACAGAGACTAGGGTACTATTAATGATATAATTTACTGATGAATATGTTAATACCTATTAATATATTTGTGGATATATTAATTTATTTATGAATACATTAATGACTAGAAAAGCTGGGATTTGAACTGAGGCCAGCATCATTAAGCTAACAGTGAATACATTTGGCTTTTCGCTCCATGCATTCTGTAGTACTCTGCTGTGCTGTTTTTTTTTGTTTTGTTTTGTTTTTTTCTGCCGTGCTGTTGTATCATGACAGTAGCCATGGAATGAGCATGGCTGCGTTCCAGTAAAACTTTTCATGGGCACTGAAACTGGAATTTTATATAATTTTCACATCCCAAATGGTCTTTTAAACATTTGAAAATGTCAAAACCATTCTTAGCTTGTAGACTGCTGGAAAAAAAAAAAAAAAAACAGGCAGCAGGCCATGGTTTGCTGACTTCTGACCTAGCTAGTCTGGCTCCAGAGTCCATGCTCTTGAACACTAAGCTGTACTTTCCCTTTTTGGGGAAATAAAAGTTAAATTTTTTAATATGTTTAAACTGTGACATTTAATATACATATTCTAAAGCATTTTAAGTACCTCTGGGGGAAAACAACGCTAAGAGGCAAAATCTTTCTAAACTCTTATTCAACCAGTAAATCTGATAAATCAAACTTATAAATGTTTATCAAATTCTTTTAGTACTCCTGAAGTCATAAATTTTTACTTCCCAAATTGAAGGTTGATCTTTCAGATTTTTTTTTTTCAGTACTTAGGCTTGAGGCTTGAACTCAGGGCCTTCACCTTGAGCCACTCCACCACACCTGTTTTTGTAATGGATGTTTTCGAGATAGGGACTGACAAATTATTTGCTGAGGCTGGCTTCAAATGGCTTCAAACCTAGATTCTCCTAATCTCTGCCTCCTAAGTAGCTAGGATTACAGGCGTGAGCTACCAAGTCCAGTTACTTAGCACTCAAAAAAGACCAATGACTTGAGGACAAGTTGTTGAGGCAAGGAAAAAGATTTGAAAACCCAGCAAACCAAAAAAGATGGGAAGCCAGGCACTGGTGGCTCACGCCTGTAATCCTAGCTAGTCAGGAGGCAGAGATCAGGAGGATCACAGTTCAAAGCCAGCCTGGGCAAAAAGTTTGTGAGAACCTTTCTCAAAAAAAAAAAAAAAATCACATAAATGGGCTGGTGGAGTGGCTCAAGGTGTAGATCCTGAGTTCAAATCCCAATACTGCAAAAGAAGAAGAAGGGACACTTTCACCAACAAAGACAATCTAGATGGCTCAGGTATGTGCAATGGCTTTATAGGGAGGAGAAAGAGGAGTAGAATGAAATGGGCAATTAAAGAAAGAACTGATGACTGGAGACTCACTGGTTCTGCTCTAGTGACATGGAACAGGTTGTTGTCTTAATTATTCTTACCTTGGCATCTTTACCCTTGAAGGAGAGAAGAAAGATTAGGTAATTTTAGGTCAAATCACCCTTGTATTATAGTCCCAGATTAAAGCATTGCTTAAATGATTAATAAGTCTATATACAGGGTTAAGCAGAAATCTGACCCAAAGGTTAATGCAGCAAAGGAGACATACAATATGAAAGCAGAGAGGCCAAGCTTTTTTCATCCTGTCTTAACTACCTAGGACATCTACAGACCCAAGTCAAAAGTCAGTGCTTTCAGCTTTTGCTTTGCAGCCTTCAAATCCTTGAAGAGTAACCTAGACAATACCCTAAGGTCCTGTAAGTGGCCTGTCTCCTTATGAAGCAGTGGCTGGGGGCACCTGCAAGGACAAATAGAAGTGTAGGTGATGTCACCACTACACTGGGAACCAGTGAGATAGCCAAGATTGACCCCAAGACCATGCAGGACCTCACCTCAGTGACAGAGACATTTCTACAGCAGATGCAAGATAAATTTCAGACCATGTACGGCCAAATCATTGGGAGAATGGATGATAGGAGCAGTGGCATTAATGAGCTGGAGAACATCAGTGACCTCAAGATCCAAGCTGGGGTGGAAGAACTGGAAGGTGAAAACAAAATACCTCCATGCAAAAGAGTTAAAGTTTGCTGATAACTTACACTGAAGTCTGGAACACCACTTTTCCAAGCCAAGAGAAAACTGAGTGACTTTTTACACCTAACTACCATGTGTAGAAAGGTTGTATGTTCCAGAGTGTGTACTCTCACCACATCCTATAAAGTTAGTTTATAGAGTAATTTCCCCCAGTTTCTCAAACATGGAACATAATGAAAGAAGAAAGAATGCAGTAAGCAAAAACATGGATAAATATAATAGGCTTGAGGGTTTTTTTTAATATACTTGATAATTGAAGCAAAACTGTAACCATTGTTTTTTGGAACAAACTTTGGCTAAATGCATGAAACTTGAATTTGAATCACAATTCTCCAACTAGTTAGTGATATTCACCATCTATGAGTTGCAGTAACTTCAGCCTCACACCCACCTCATTTTCTCATCTACAACCTGGGGATAGAGTTCAAACAGATTTCTAAAAGTCTTCATCTTTAATATCTATAATGTTGGACTGTGAATGTTGTGTTGTGGGTAGCATCAGATGCCCTAAATAAAAGCCAGTCTCATTGTCTGTTTTAATTCAATAATTCAGCAAGTGTGTGTGTTAAACACCTCTTGAGCCCAAGTCTTTATACTAATTCCTAATTCCTTGTTATTTACAATGGTACTCAGCATTTACCCTGATTTTACATTATCTGTAAATCCCTCCCTGGGTTTATTCTTAGTAATCCTTCAACTACCACCACCACATACATGTTTCCTGCCCGTAAAAGAGCCTTCTAACACAGGC